TGTGGCAAAATAGCAATGTACAAAGTTTTGCACACCACAACAGCCAGACCAAAAATAAAAAGTTAGACAATTGTATTCCCAAGAAGGTACGGGCTGCAAAAAATACAGTTAAAATGGTTATCCATTCCCTGTAGGAATACCATTTAAGTTGAAAAAAGAAAAATAAAAGGGGGGAAAAAAAGAAAAAGCACATGTCATCTGTGTTGTCATTACCCACCCAGTGATGGAGCCTGCCAAAAGGAATGTGTATTCTCCCTAGCAGATTCCCGAATGAACAAGTCCCCTTCACAGATCATCAAGTGACATCTGAATGCTTCTGCGCAGTAGGGCCACTTTAAGTTTCACAGCAACCTCTTCATGTGCTCATTTTGAGGACCATTAAATGTATAAGGTCCTTTGCATCACATACTCATCAGAAGTTCAAAATGCTGGCCACACTGCTTGTCTTGCCAAGACCTTAAAACCGCAGCTGCAAGAAAAACATACCTGTCCCCCAAAAGTTGTTTTTATGCAGTGTCTCGTCTAGGCAAGCGCTTCCAAGAAGCCAGGATTCACTTGAGAATGTGTCTCTCTCTGGCAGGTCTCGACATGACGACTACTGTGTAGGCTGAGGGAGGAACTTTCAAAGCACTGCTTTTCCCACTGACTTAAGTGTGAGAAGTTGCTCCTGCTCTAGGTCTCATGTGCCAGTACTCACCAATTTGTAAAAGGCTTAGTACCTTTTAAAGCTGCTCTCTCCATTTCAAACTTGAACAAAAATTTCATTGAACATTGAAGTTTGGAAATATTTCTTCAACATTTCAGCAAACTCACTGAAACTCAAAGACCCACAGATCACAGTGAACAGTTTGAAACAACGCTGTACCATGGCAATCATGCAAAGCATGGGACAGAAGAAATACCACGGCAGTGAACTGTGAGGGTAACTTCCATTTCCCCCCCGGAGAGAACAGTTTACAGGGCAGAGGTGGTATGTTCTGCCCTTTGAAGATTACTGGCACACGGTCAGCTTTCACCTCTCTAATCGACTGGAAGCAGCCAGCCGATCACTAGTCCTCCATCCCCCTCGAGTCCTCCGATTGTCATGCCTAGGCCTTGCCACAAAGACTGCACCTTTATGCAAAAAAAAACTTAGAAAAAATGCAGAGGTTAAAGAAAGCAATAGACTTTCTTTAAAAAACTACATGGAGATCTTCTCGGAAACCAAGCCATGAATGTGAGTGTACTAACCTAGCCCTCTGGAGGCCACATCTGTAGCAATCAGAATAGGAGCTTTTCCGTGTTTGAATTCTACAAAGAAAGATACACGTATTATGACCACCAATCTTGACTTGAGTAGAGATCCAAATTAACACTTTTATTTGGTAATACTTACCATTTAGAACCCAGTCACGTTCCTGTTGACTCTTGTCACCATGGATACCCATGGCAGGCCACCTAAACCACAAGATTAAAAGACTCATTTAAAATCTGAAACAGACTCATCCAAAATCTGAAACGGAGTATTACAGATCTCCTTACTTTAAACCCAAACCTCAACCTGAAAATTTTTACTTATCATGATTCCCATAAGTGAAACACCTGCTTCTCAACTCAAACTTGCTTGCCCTTTTCCAAATCCTTTTTCAAGACCAAGCCTACATACCCATCTCTCCTCATTTTTCTGGTAAGCTCATCACATCTTCTTTTTGTTTCAACGAAAACAATGGTTTTATTCTCCTTCTCACTCATGATCTCTTCCATTAGACGAATAAGCCTAGATAATATAAGACAAACTTATCTTAAAAGGAAATCCAGTCATGGCTACATATTTATAGTCAGATTTACTCTTTTATCTTGCTTTCCATTATCAGGAACATGCAGGAAAACTCATAGATTATCATGTGTTCAGTCCATTCATAGTGCAAGACAATGAACTTTAGGATTCTAAACTAAAACTACACTCCCTGCCCATTTTGAGCCACAATCATGCTAGTTCAAACTTGTGATCTTTCCGTTTCAGCCTCACAGTGTGCTGGTATGGTAGGTATGTGCCACCTCACTCAATTAAGATAATTTTAATATATACATTCATATTATTGCAAGCAACTACCATTTAATATAAGCTTTTAAACAGTTGCTATTGGCTGGAGATGGCTCAGTGGTCTAAAGCACCTACTTGAAACAAGCTTGGCAAAGCACAGGGACCGTGGTTCAATCCCCAGCACCACATGCCAGCCAGACCCGCCCCCTGGTGGGCTGAGCTGGCCACACACACACACACACACACACACAC